TTTTATAAAGAGAAAAATCCGCATTTTACTATGTTTAATTAATAAATTTTGACGTCGTTGCATTATTTCTGGTTGCCACTGTATGTAATTCGCATTTTCCTTTAGTATTTTTTTAATCTTATTTGAGCATTTGAAAATAAATTTAATTTGAATTAAACTCAAATTTTAAGTCATGTAAATTCGAATTTATGATGATATTTAGTTTTTTAGTGTTATAGTTTATTTCTTTGACACCAAGAAACATTAAATAAAATATTTTGTGTATCTTTAATTACAAAAATTAATGTATTTATGAAGCTATGCTATAAAAACATATAAAATTTATTTTAGTTCGACAACTACATGTACTTTTAATTTCTTGTATGCTAATATTTTTTATGGTCTATCGCTATTTTATTTACGTATATAAAATGAAAAAAATGTTTATCGTTATTCATTTTTTGGATTATTGTTATCGTTATACCGATACGTACACTTTGTCACTCCTTAATCTATTCATGTCGCCTTGAATTGAAATGGTACCAAGTTCAACAACATACGTTGACCCTTGAAGAACCGTTTTAGCACTGAGTATCTAGTGTTGAAGAGTATTTAATTATTTAATTATAATATAAATTAAAATATTTGCCAGCATAAATGTGCAAACAGCATTTACACAGATGCTTTTAATGATGTTTGACTAAACAACATAACCTATTAAATGAAACTAACGCTAACGCTAATTCCTTCACCACTATACACTGGCATCTGCGGCACGACTAGAAGAGACAGCCCCGGTTACAGAAGCAGTATTAACGATTACACCACAACTCTATTTCTTTAAATACGGAATAGCCAATTACATTCTTCTTTATTAACATATACCAAAACGATTTTTGCTCTAATCTTATTATTTAAATAACAAAGTTTATTTACTTTTTTTTCCAATTACGACATGACAAGTCAATGCTTCGCCAAATCCACTTGTTCCATCAGTAACGGTCATGAATTTACCATTTCTGAATTCTTATTGTATCGTTTTTCAAACATTAAACAGATATAAATATAAGTAGTTTATTCAAACTTTTCTTTAAATATTAAAGAATGTTTAGGCGTCTAAACTTTTGAAATGGTCCTTATGATTTCTTTTAATGCATCAACCTATCTCTCGATAAGAGTCATGCTCGGTTCTCTAAATTTCCATTATACAGGAAACAATGTTACAGATAATGATCTCAATAATATAGTACTAATATTATTACTAGTTACCCAATCAGTTTTTCACTGCCAGACCCGATTAATCCTCTCGTAAAAATTCATTCTTTTATTATCGTTATTGACTAATTTGTATAGTTCTGGGTCATCTTTATATTCGTATGCATCAGAAACCTGATGATGGCGTACTATCGTATAAAAAGAACTTGTTAGCGTTAGATTCTAGGGAAAATTTATTCATAAAAAAAAAAAAAATAGACTTACAATAAAATCCTAAATTTCTGTTGAAATTCAGGTGACATCGGACTATATTCAGAGTCAAAAGAACAAGAGAAGCTACGGAAAAAAATCCTGAAATAAATATAAGGTATTTATTAACGCAATGTTTCATGGCACTGGCTCTTTGAATCAATGAATAATAATTTACCCAAACAAAAATGAAATTGAAACACTGGATCGAATTTGAATTCATCAACGAGAGAACATTCTGTCTGTTTCACGCCACCTGCAGGGATATAGACAACGCACCAAGTCATGACTTTATGTGTAATCGTTCCGATGAAATATAAATTTAACAAGTATGTAAAAGTAATCAACACTTTGGATTCTTTACGAACCTATGGGAATACAGATTATATTAGCTATTTATTTGTTGAGTTAGGGTCGTGACATATGTTACGTAATATAAGTTTACTATAGAGCTCACCTCCCTCCCCCAGGTAAGATATTTGAAGCATGTGACTCTATATCTTACATAAGACACTGTCAGTACACCTCCCCTAGGATATTACGTAATATCTGTCACAGCCCTTATTATTATATCAACGTTTAGAATCCATGTAAGCTTGGGAACTTACAGCTATTATCGGAAACAGCGCAACCAACGGCAACAGCGCAAAATTATACGGAATAAAAGTGTAAGGTTGCACTGTGAGTGGAACCCCGAACCCATATAATTCCAAGAACGTTGACAATTTTATCCGATTTACCCAATAAGTGCCAAAGAATATTGTTGAGAATACTAGACTTGCATGAATCAGAGGAAAGTTCAACTCATATACTTTGTATATCTCTGTTGTATTTTTAAATAATATATGAAGAATTACCTTTAAATTATAAATATAGATAACAGAAATAACAACTTACGCTTTATTATTCTATTATAACGTACAATTATACTATTATTTTTCACGACAGGCCATTTTCTTTCGTTATTTATTGTGAAAAGTTGAAAAAATAAAATTATAATCATATTTTTTTTTAAAAAAAAATAACCAAAGACAAAAAAGAATACTCACTGTCTATAGCATAAAACAGCTATCAAGGCAATTGACAAAAATTCGATAATTCCGAAAAACCATAGTCGTATTATCAAATTTCTATGTCTTACGGGGTTCACGCAATTAAATGTTGTTGTTACAAGACAAAAGTTGGTTTCAAATAGATATATAATCGATGAGTCGAAAAGTGGCACCAATATAATGAATGAAAATGCGATTGCGTGTGTTATTGTTTTATTCCAGACCTATGTAAAACATTAAATTAAGATATCGATATATATCGATATGTAGCGATAGTATACATAATATTATTTGCAAGTATGAACGAAAAAATGCAATAGAATAAAAAACATGTACGCACTGTTATTAGACCAGAAATCAACACCAACGAGTAATCAAAGATTTCCAAAACTGTGTCGAGCGGAAATTTTGTCCCCGGCAGTATAAACCGATCATTTTTTATGACGACCGATGCGAAATGACAAGAAACTATTACAAAAAATGCGATCTCTAGTTTCTTTTGCGCTAAAATCATTTTCAATTCTGAATTAATGAAGAAATTTGAATAGGTTGATCTACCGCTACGTATATTTGTTCTCTCTACTCGAGTTTTTGTACATGTACGTATCGATATGTAAATGTGAACACTAAATACATGCATTTCCTATTATAGATGTTTCGTTACCGTTGCATGGTTGTATACGTACGTACATGTACATCGATATCGATACGTACATGTACATCGATATCGATACGTATACCGTTACATGTACATGTATTTACTCATTGAATAATTTTTTTACACATATTTTTCAGAACTACTCTTTTCGATTTCATCAAACGGTGGGTCCCCTGAAAATTCATAACTGGAAGACACTGGGCGATATCGTACTAAATCAAAGATAATAAGTAAGTATTTTTCTGTTAAGATGAACATAAAAAGAAAAAAGGAACTAACAATAAAATCCTAAATTTTTCCCGTAGTTTCTATGGCAACGAATAGTGTTTAACGTCAAGAGCATTACAAAAAAAATAGCAAGAATTCCTATAAAATTATGGTAGAGTTAGTGAAATAAGGTATATCGATATCGATGCAATAAAGAAGAGTATACATTCATTACCTAGCATTAAAAGCACTTGAAAAAACGGATCATACACTATTTTGTTCTTTACCAAGCAAACAGATCCTTGTATCCCCTGTAACGTTGTGCCCATTATACACCAGGTGAACAATTTATACAAAATCGAACTTCCGTAATAAATATTCGCCAGATACGAGATATAAGTCATCCAATACGATTCACGACGAACCTTTATAAATCAATCGATCATTGAATGGATTAATAAAAATTTAAGTCAGTCAGTTCAGTTAGTTTTTTTTTTTTACTTACAGCCACGATCGGAAGCGATAAATAAACGATCAAAACTATCACATTGTAAGGGATGAAAAAAGAGTATAGCGATAGTTCAAAATCTAATGATTCCTCGAATCCAAAAGATATCATCCGCGAGACGAGAATCATACGAAACCTCCAATACGAATGAATGAACATCGTTAAGCAAACAACACTTCCGTGAATTAATGGTAATTGGTATGCATAAGTTCTGTAAAGCCCTTTTATATGAAACAAATGGTGTTAATTTTAATTGCGGATATAAAAGTTTATTAAATCACGTACTTTTAATAGCTGGTAATCGAGTATATTTAAATTTCGGAAGAAAAGTCCATTGTCTTTTGAATAGTCACATTAATAGATCAATTAATTAAGTATATATTTATTCATAAACGCACAAAGAACAAACTCACTTCGTTTTAGCCAGATAAATAATCATGAATATACTCCAAAACTCGACAACCCACAAATAGAAAATACGAATATTCAATGTGCTGATTTGTTCGCTCTCATCACACGGATGCATTTCAGATAAAGGACAGATCCGTGAAGAGAATTTGCGCTGAAATATAGTTTCCATCAACGGCGTGACATTTATTAGACAGAAAACAAGTACATTTGACATTGTTTTTGTCCATATCTAAGTTTATTGTGTTGTTAATGAAAAAAATTAGATCATTACTTATACGAATTCTTTGGATGAAATAATCTAATGATCAAGTACATTACCGTCACGACTGCCGAAATAAAGATTAGAAAATAGAGAACGGAATCAAGTAGCAGTTCAGTTCTACTCATTTCGAATAAATTGAAATTTAAGAGATACGACCCAAAATGGCATAATACGATTGCTAGAAATTTCGCTTCGTTATTCTTGAATGACACCATCTTTCTAATTTACGAGGAATTTCAAGTGCAAAAAAATCAAATGTTGAGATCAAACTAAATAATATTCTAGTCAATTGAGGCTTTATAAAGCAAAATCAAAATCAAAAGAAAACTCGACATGTGTCAAGCAAAACAAGTCTTCCTTTGTTCGTACAAATCCGTAATAGATTTCTCATTGAAATAGGCTTTTTAGACCATTAAGTATGTGGCTCACATGTGTGGCTTAGCTCATTTTGATTTTTACAGCTCGGGATACATGTATATTACATATACGTACATTGTTTTTATTATTGATAATGGAAGGCGTGAGAACTTTCCTTGTTTTTAACATGGACTTTGAATGCAATATTCTCAGATGAAGACCCGTGAACAATTGCCTTACGGGGGTTACTTTTTCTTAAAATATACATTTTTTTTCAAACAATCATTAACTTAAAATTGGCATAAATCGTAAAATTAAAATACTGTCGCCTGTAATGTGGATCTACGTATTTCTGCATCTACATCTATAACGATAATACTGCATACAAAACATAACATTTGTAGATAATCATTAACCAATTCCAACAAAAAAATAGAAAACCGGCAAAAACAGGAATACGTATTGATACGTATTATGTGTGAGCACTCGAAAAAATCCCTTATTCATAATCGTACATAATAATACGTAAGCTAAAATTGCATGAAACTCGAGAAATACGTTTTTAAATAACGATAAAGGATCTGAATTTTTTTTACATGAATAGTCAAATAGTCACCCCCCCCGTTATGATCACATCATATAAAACCTCATTATAATCACACTCTTAACAGTCACATCACATTCACATTAAAACCCCCGTTATAATCACATTCACACGACAGTGTGACTATAGAAGGTTTGATAACATGTACATGCACTCTAAGTCGATCTTTTTATCATTTATCCCAAATTTGGCAATTACATGTACAGTACATACTGATTGTAACGACTTCAATATTAACCAATCACATATCCAGAATCTTAACTCCGGTTCTAATTAGCCAATTAATGTACAGTACCCCAAAAAGTAACGCCCGGTCCAAAATTATATAATAAAACATAATTATTTTTAAATTTATATCATTTTAAAGTTAATTGAAATACAAGGACTATTTCGATTGGAAAGTAAAAAAAATTTTTTCTCACGCTTTATATGGTTCAAGTAATCTATACTCAACAATTTTTTTCAATTTTTAAAATCTTTAAACTCAATGTGAAGACAAAATTTGACCAGTAACTTTGTTCTTTATGATAAGCTCTATAAAGTTATTGGTCAAATTTTGAAAATTTTGTCTCTACATTGAGTTTAAAGATTTTAAAAATTGAAACAAATTGTTAAGTATAGATTACTTGAACCATATGAAAAAATTTTTCTCCACACTTATATATGAAAATTGAAAATTTCAAGTTATATATTTCCTATTAATAATTATTTCTAAACTGTATATTATTTTAAAGCTAATCAATTATATTTTTGAAAAATGAACAAGATTTATGAAACTTTTAAAATGAAAGAACTATTTTAATTATATAATCAACAACAAAATTTTTATATATATTTTATTATATAATTTTAAATTAAGTGATATTTTTATATTTATTTAAATACATATAAATGTACATATACATATTATATAACACAATTATAGTTAATATACAGTTGACTCTGGTTATAATGAACCTCTCGGACTGAGACATTTGGTTCGTTATAGAGTGAGTTTGTTATGGCCAATACTCTCTTTATACCGAACAGTTCGTTATATAAAGCGAATCAATAGAATCAAATACACGTGATCGTAATTACTAAATATATTTAGCTGATGATCTGATATTTATTGATGACAATTATATAATACTCTAACGCAACGAAATCCTCTAAGAATCGATGACAATGATAATGAATTGACGACGACAGAAATATACAATAAAATGCTCTAGAAATTGATAATGACAACGAAATACTCTCTAAATCGACAGCAACAATGAATCATTCTAGAAACTGACAAAATAAAAAGATTTATACTTATTTTCGCTCTTATTTATTATTTATTTAAAAAAACATCTTTACTTTGGATTTCTATTCTGAAAATAATGAAGATCAACTTGCTTAAGGTTATTTATAATCATCAACTTAACTCGTTTATGTAGCCTTCTTAAAATTTTTACCTCCTCATTGATTTCACCAAATTCTGGTCCTTGTTCGTATAAAAATTGTAATACTTGGTTTATGGACTTTTCTGCTTCATTACAACTTACTTTTTCTACTTGTTCATCAACAGACTCCTCCTCTTCCTTATCTTCATCTGCTATTGCCGCCAATATTTCCTCATCAGTAAGCCCATGCTCAACTTTACTATTATCAATGCTGATATATTCATGCGCTGTAAGATAATTGTTTGCCGGTAGGTGATTAATCAATTTTTGAAGTTTTTGTTCTTTATTCATACTGCCAAAATAAAGTTAGATTAATTTAATATATTTTCTTTAAGATAAAAAACTGTTTTTATGATAAAAACATACCTATCCGAAATTGAATCCCAAACATCATGCTCTGAAAGTTCAGTAAAGTTTTCTATTTCTTCTGGTGGAAGGATGCCAGTTTTTTTCAGCAGTTTTTAATCGTTTGTGATGATACCATAGACCATGCTTCTGATACATTAAGTAATGCATGATAGATATTATACTTTGCGAGTTCTTGTACTATATCATTTTGGATATCGTCATAAGCATTGATTCAGTTTTGGATAAATAGACGCTTATATTGACACTTGAATGAATGAATAATTCTGGCATCACAAGGTTGGAGAATCGTAGTTGTATTTGAAGGAAGAAATTTAACTTGCACACTGTTTAACCTTTCTGCAGTTTCATCAAGAATGATATGTACTGGTGCATTGTCAACCAAAAGTAGGATTTTTTGATTGTTTCGTTTCATTTGTTCATTGAGTTTGAGAAGGATATTATTGAAGATATTAACTTGCATCCATGACTTTTTGTTCCAATAATAATAAACAGGAAGATTCTTATAATTAAGATTTCGCATTGGGTGGGATGTTTTGTGTGTGTGAATAAAGGTAAGATTCATTTTTTCAGTTCCAATTGCATTCATAGCACAAAGTATTGATACACGTGATTTTTCTTTTTTGTGTCCAGCTAATTTTGAACGAGCTAAGGTTCGGGATGGTTCCATTTTCCAAAAAAGTCTGGTTTCATCAGCATTCCAAATGTCTTCAAGTTTATAGGATTGAAGTAATTGTTGTAAAGTAAGCTGATCAGTTTCTATTGATTCCATCGAAGGTGCACTTGCTGATTCACCCTGTTTTGTAAATTGACGAAGTCTATGTCACTTTTTAAAACCAGTAAGCCAACTGTCAGATTTATGAAAATCATCAATATGTAAGTGATTGGTGAAAAATCTTGCTTTTGCTTTGAGAATATGTCCATTAATATCTTGTTGTGATATAAGTGCATTGTCAACCCAGAGACCAAGAGCAGTTTCGAGTTGTGGCCACTTAGATCCACAAAGTTTTTTCATTTTTTCTTCTTCTTCACCCGAAATAACAAGCCAACATTCTTTTTCTTTGAGGATTTCTGATACTGTTGACTTTTCAATGCCATACTGACCACCGAGTTCAGTGTGACTAAGGTTTGGATTTCTTTCTTTTGTTTCACAAATTTCACGTTTTTGCCCAGCAGTAAGACTAACTCATTTTCTTTTCGACATAATATCAAGATATTAATGTCAATTAAAATAATGTGAAAAATGTAACGAAAGTCGGGTTAAGAGTAAATAAAAAGTCTACCTTATAAATTTAAAATCTCACACAGTGTCAGATAATACAGTAGGCTAATGAGCAGATGACATAGTGTTAAATAATACATAGAATGATAGTGTTAAACAATACAGTGTCAGATAATACAACACCGTATTAGATAATACAACACCGTGTTAGATATTAATAAAATCTCATATGATTTATTTGATCAATTAAATTGATTCCACGTGATTGTTTGTTATATCGAGATATATACAAATAATAATGGATTAGCCAAATGGGTTCGGATGCAGTATAGAATAATTTACTATGTTCGTTCGGTATAACCAGCGCTATTATATATAAAAAATTCGGTTCTGAAAATTTCGTTCATTATGTCCAAATTTCAGTATAAACAGGTTCGTTATAACCAGAGTCGACTGTACATATACATATGTATATATTGTTGCATTTTTAGTTAAGTTTGAATTGAGAAATTTCTAATGCAACAAGACTTTGGGAGAAATTATTAGACTAAGTGATGGTTATTTTGATATTTAAAATCTGTGTCAATATCTACAAATATCATTTATTATATTGATTTTGGGAAAAGAGAGAAACTATATATTTTAAATGAGTATTGGAGATTTCTTAACTATTATTTTTTATAAATAATTATTAATAATTATTGCATTTTCTAGACAAAAGTCTTAAACTCTTAAAAATAATAATAATAATTATAATCACACAAAAATAATTTTTCATTAGCAATGTGATTCTACATAAAAAATATCTTTTCTGATATAAAAAATCTAATTGACAATTAATATAATAATTAAAGTAGAAAGAAATAAAGGAAAAAAAAATAAGTTTACAAATAATAATTTATTTAGAAAGAGAATAATTATATGTAATAATTCAAGTTTTAATTTTGCTAGATTTATTTAATATTTTTGAACCTGATAGAGCAAATATGAAATTAATATTGAAAATAGTCTATTAATAGTATTAAAATTATATTATAGAAGATTATTATTGAAAAGAGAATTTATAAAGAAAAAATTGATCGAATACTTAAGCAAGATATTATTTTATTATCAAATAATTCTTGATTAATAATTCAAGTTTTAATTTTGTTAGATTTATTTAATATTTTTGAATCTGATAGAGCAAATATCATTCAATATTGAAAATAATCTATTAATAGCATTAAAATTATATTATAGAAGATTACTATTGAAAAGAGAATTTATTAATCAAATATTCAAGCAAGATATTATTTTATTATCAAATAATTTTTGATTAGTATATGAAAAATTTAGATTTATATTGATTATAAATAATTAAATCAGATTATTATAAAAGATTCAAATATATTATCATGAATTAATAACTTATTAAATATATTTAAAAAAGTTAAATATTTCACAATATTAGATCTAACTTATAAATATTGACATGTAAAAATAAAACCAAAAGATTGAAAAAAGATTACTTTTACTATATATAATAAATTATATGAGTTTAATATAATATCTTTTGAACTTATTAATAAATTAGTAATATTTCAAAGACTAATAAATAAGATTTTTAAGTCATATATTAACAAATTTGTTGTAATATACTTGAATAACTTCAATATATTTTTGAAAAATAATAATTTTATAATATTCTATAAGTTATTGATATTTAAAGTTAACATATAAAAAATTACAAAATATTAAATAGATCATAAAATAACAATATTTTATTAATTTATATTTAGAATTTTGCAAACTTGAATTTATTTAATTAAGATAAATATTCATATATTTAGCTCTTGAATATTGAAAAAAGTATAAGTATTTAAAGTTAATAGATTTTTTTTGATATTTTTTAAGATTACTAATATTGATTAGGATTAGTAAGAGTTCTTTTAATATCCAGTTTTTTTATATTAGTTTTATTATGACTGGATCTAAGAAATTCTTTGATAAGTATTTAATATTTTTTGTTAATATTTTAAATATAATATAAGTTTTTAAATAAAAATATCTTGTATAATTAAAATCTGTACTTGATTTGTATAACAAATTAATAAAAATATACAAATTATATATGTACTAGCAATTATTAAAGATTAATTTTATTATTTGAATTAAAATAAGAATTAGTATATATATACTCTTACAGTATATTACTAAAAATTTAATATCGATTATTCAACGAATCAAAGTTTTTATTATTAAATAAAAAATTATCATATTTATTAAACATATGATAAATTAAAGAAAAATAAAGTAGTGAATATACAGTTATATTGGTTCAAATTTAAGAACCTACAATTAATATGGCATGCTTTTGCCATTGGCTTCAATAACTTTGTCTATGCGTCTAGGTAGACTCAAAATTAACTCATGCAAAGTTTTCAAATTAATATTCATCTATTTCTCTTGTAATATATGAATTAATTCTTGCTTTGATATAGATAATAATCTTCTTTTTCAAATTTAGCAATCCAAAATATTCCACAGATATTTAATTAAATTGAGATCAGGGCTTTGATCAATCCAATTCAAAAGTTGAATATTATGTGTTGATATTCACCAAGTCATATATATCAAGATATAACATAATGCATTATCTTGTTTAAACATAATATGTAGATATTAGTGAATTCAGGGTACTGTTACAAGTTTGTTCACTAATCGTTAAATTAGCTTACAAACGAGAACCTGGGTTGGGAGAGGATATAAACTG